GTGGAGCAATCTCGGCTCACTGCAACCTCCGCCTCCTGGGTTCAAGTGATTCTTCCACCACAGCCTCCCGAGAAGCTGGGACCACAGGCGAGTGCCACACGCCTGGCTAATTTTTTTTTTTGCATTTTTAGTAGAGATGAGGTTTTACCATGCTGGCCAGGATGGTCTCAATCTCTTAACCTTGTGATCCGCCCGCCTCGCCCTCCCAAAGTGCTGGGATTACAGGCATGAGCCACCGCACCCGGCCATTCTGTGTAATCTTAAAACAAAACAATAGCTTGGAGATAATCCAGTGTCTGCCAATTTATGGTACATTCATAGAATTCAGTACCACACAGTTGTTGAAAAGAATTCAGAAGATCTATACATGCTGATGGGAAAATGTCCAAGACATACTTTTGGATAATGAAAGTGAGTTACAGAAAAAAAAAAAGAATCCTTTGAGTGTGTGCATGTGTGTGTGTGCGTGTGTTTTAAGAGTGCATTCATAAACACATTTTTTGGAAGGATGTACAAAAATCTGACAATGGTTACCTCTGAGGACTGTGAATGGAGGGAGAAAGGAAGACAAATTTTTAGCCTTGACTTCATACCTTTCAGTGCTTTCTGAATTTATTATCTAGAGCATGCAACTTTTGTCACAGAAAATTTAACAGAATAAGATAAAAATAATTACCATAGCAAAGAAAGGAAAAGGAAAGAAAAGACAAATGCAGAAGTCTCTAGAGAAAGAGAGAAAAAATTACGTACTAACTTTCAGGTTTTAATATATCGGCAGGATAATTACTAGTGTATATAAAACTGATTACATTTCTGGCCAAGTTTCTAGTATTATCAACCAGGAATTCACACAGTCTTAGTCCTGAAAGGGTTTTGCATTGGTTAGTCCAATTACTTCATTCTACAGATGAGCATATTGGGACCCTGACATCACAGGGACAGTGTTCTCTTTTAGACAGACTCACATTAATGCACTGGAACATCAGCCTCCAAATATACACAGAAAAGCAAAGACAAGGGTTCAAAATAGAATGAAGCAGAAGAAACAAAGAGAGGTGTCCATTGTCCAGCTATTCTGAGGTGCCAGGTATGATGAACATGTAGGATGCCATACCTCAGGGAGGTGGGGGCAGGCCTGGCTATGGTGGCTGGGGCTTACCTTGTAGTGACTGAGGGCATTTTCAATGGTCAGCTCACGATGAGACGTGTGTTCAGGGGACACCAGGCATTCCACACACAGAAGAAGTCTGCTCTCCTCACAGAACCTGCACACCCTCTTCTGGTGGTTGAGGCAGATATAACCTGTTCCCAGCACCTCCTCGGAACAGGGCTTCCGGCAGAGGGGGCAGCAGATGACCCCAGAGGCTGAGGCCTTCTCCACATGCTGTTTCAGGCACACTCGACAGAAGAGATGTCCACATTTGGTGCTCACGGCCTCCTTCAGGCTCTCCTGGCAGATGGGGCAGACACCCTCCTCCTGGGTGTCCTTATGCAAAGGGATCATGGCCTTGTCCCCACCCTGTCAGCCTTCTGCCTGCCTCCTGTCTGCAGGGCCTCCTTCTTCACTGGTCTTCGGAAGGCCTGTAGCCCTCAAGGGTCCCAGATAAGAAGGCCCGGTTGGAAGGAGGCAGCCCTGGAGCAGCCTGGAGATCAGGACACAGCCTCTAACTTCAGGCAATTGCCCACTCTCCATCAAGGATGCCGTGACATAGACCACACAAACCACAATTCTGCACAAGTTTCAGAAATAGCTTATCAGCTTTCACATGGACCCTGCAGTTTCCTTGTATTTGTCAAACTTGAAATTATTTTTCATACACCTAGAGGAAGCAAGTGATGCAATAACTAACTCTGTTTTCCTCTTGAGAGCCTTATGTGAATATTTTTATGGGCCCCAAATCAAAAGGGCAAAGTGTCAATGTCATGGCCAAAAGCCAGACCACCATAAACTTACAATGTGAATCTCCGCTGATTTGCCATCAGTAGAGAGAGTCTGGTAGGAGTTTGGACTATTTTCTCCCACATTGTCACACTAGACAGCTCACTGCTGCCCATTCCTACCACCAATCATTATAGCAGCACCCCCATCAGCTGGTCATTCTCCCAACCAACGTCCCTCCCAGGGTCATATAGATTCCACACTGAAAGGATGAGAAAGAAAACAGGACACAGAACAGACCAGAGACTTGTGTCATGTTTGAAGCCACTTTGTTCCTTGCTGTCAAATCACCTCCAAAGACGACCCAAAGAAGGAAGTCCCCACCCCACCCGCCACTTCCTTTCACACCAAGCATTCACTCTCATTCCCTCATGCTGCACCTGTTGCCTAGTCCCCCTCCTGAAACGCTTTCTAGTATCCTACCTCAATTTCTTCTGCTATAACTTCAGATCATTTTCTCCGGCTCCAGACCTGGAGAGATGGCCAGCAGGTGAGTGGTTCTTAAATCGTGCCAATCATGTGTGTTCATATGTCAGTAAATCTCAGGTGGCATGGAGAGACTCATCCTTTCCTAGAAACACTGCATTACCAGGAAAATGACCTAGGGTTGCTGGAAGGTGAGATGGACGTTGACTGGTGCAGGGTGTGGCTTGTTTGCTCATGGGGAGGAGGAAGGTCTTGGGCCTTTGACGTCAATATGACAGGACTCAAGTGAGAATGGACATCCCAGAACCCCAGCTTATGGAACCTCAGGATCCAGGTGTCACAGAACCATGGCACCCACTCAAGATGCTTGAACATCAACTGTCCACCCGATTGTCTAAGTTCCCTCCAGTCAGGCTGGAGGCATAGAGTTTGGGGGATCCCCCAAGGGGTGCCACTGATAAGGGCTATCACTTCAAACTTTTAAGGGTCCTTGAAGCTTGTCGAAAACCTCATTTCATAGCCTCCTCCCTCAATCCCACTTTGCCACTGTTTGCTGTGGGGTTGTGTGATATTGTAAGATAAAAAAATAGATACAATTAGTCTTGGCACAGAGCTCCTAAAACCCTTGAACAGATGCTCCTTAACTTATGATGGGGTCACGTCCCAATGAATTCACTGAAGTCAGAAATATTGCAAGTTGAAAGTGTACTCAATACCCCAGTAAACCCATTGTAAAGTCAAGAACTTTAAGTTTAATCATCCTAAATCCAGATGCAGCTCAACTTACCACACAGTTACATTCCAATGAACCTATCTTTTATTACTTATAATAAGCCCCTTTCAACCATACCCGAGTTTATGCTCATGAGGTGACTCTTGGAGGAAGAATGGGGGCTGGTTGCTGGAAAAACCAATCACGCGATTAGACGTTGGAACTTTCATTCTCACCTTTGACCTCTGGGGAGGGGAGAGGAGCCCAGGGACTGGGTTAATCACCAACGGCCAGTAATTTAATCAATCATACCTAAATCATGGAATCTCTGTAAGTCCCTAAACAAAGAGGTTTGGGGAGATTCCAGGTTGGTGAGTGCAGCCACATGCTGGGAGGGTGGCACATCCCACACTCCACTGGGGACAGCAGCTCCTGTGCTCAGGATCCTCCTGGACTTTGCCCTGTGTACCCCTTCATCTGGCCGTGAAATCACCATGACTCTGGTGATTTCAAAGACCATATACAACATGATCATATAACACCAAGGCTTTTCAGTTCCTTGTCCTGCTCACATCCAATGACCTTTACTTTGGCCAACCACCCTAGTGGCCACTCTCTTGACCTTGTCAGGATTCAGATTTCACCACCTGAAATTAAAAATCTAGGCAGTGTACTCACTTATAGTTCTCTTCCTAAGCCGTCTGATCTTTAACCTTCAATCCTTGGCCCCTCCACAATCTACATGTCTGTCGCATCTCATGAAATAACATAAGAAACAAAAATGTGGACAGATTAAGTAACCTGCCCAAGACCACAGTGGTGTAAGATCAGAACTGGGAAGCAGATCTGAATGTCTGTCATCCCAGCCCACGGGCTTCATTATCAAAATGTCATCTCTCTATATACCTTTTCTTGCTTTTAGAAAGAATTCAGGAAAAGCTTGATAAGTGAATGGGTTAATGGACAGATGGACACATAGATTGATAATTAGATATATGGATAGACAGATGAAGAAACAGCACGTTGTACCAACTCATAGTATTGATTATGTAGTAACTTCTACTGATTAGGTGCTTTCCTTGATTTTCCTACTGGCTTATTGAGCAACTTGAAGGTGGAATCCACTGCATTTAACTAGCACTAGCTTCAGAATGTTTCAAATGTAGAAACCACAGAAGGAAAGAAAGATAAATTCAGTCACATTTAAAAAGATCTGCATAGGGCAAAAAACCTGTAAGCGCAGTGACAAGAGAAAAATGACCAAATAAAAATGGAAGAAGAAAATTGTTTACAACTGCCATCAAAATCAACGGGTTAATTAATTACCCTTTATATAGAGCTCTTACAAATAAGAATTTATCAACTACCAAGAAGAACATCGGGCAGAAGTATCTCAACAGACATTTCATAGAAAAAGAAATACAAAATATCTCTAAAGCATATTAAAAGATACTCAGTCTCACTCTCATGAAGAAAATGCAAATTAAAATAACACTGCATACTATTTTCCCCAATCAGATTGACAGAAATCCAAGCGTTTGGTAATACGGTGTTGGTATGTGTGTGAGGAAATAGGCAATCCCATGTTCTGCTGATGGAAATGTCAATTAATACTCCTTCTTTAGAGGAGAGGAATTTGAGAATTTCCTCCAAGATTACAAATGCACATTCTCTTTGAGCCAGCAAGTCTGATGTTAGAAATTTAGCATACGTATATACTCATGCATATGTGAAATAATATATGCATATAAGTATTTCATCAATGTTTGAGAAACATTTGCTTCGAATTTTAGAAACTAACCAAATGTTCATCAATGGAAGTTAAGCTAAATAAACTAGCTACATTCACACAGTAGAACACTGTGCAGCCATTAGTAGGGGGTAGGATGCAGAAAGGAACTTTTGCTATTGGAATATCTCCAACATAATTGATTTAAAAAAAAAAGCTTGATAGTGCCCGTCTCATATCAGCCAGGAACAAAGCAACCCCTTGCTTATCCCAGCTTGGCTTTCAGTGTATGCCCACTCCTGGTTTATGATTTGGACACATAGATTACTGAATTTAAAAAATAAAAATACATTTAAAAGCGAGGTGCAGGCTGGGCACAGTGGCTCACACCTGTAATCCCAGCACTTTGGGAGGCTAAGGCGGGTCAGGAGTTTAAGACCAGCCTGGCCAAATGGTGAAACCCCGTCTCTACTAAAAATACAAAAATTAGCCGGATGTGGTGGCGCACACCTGTAATCCCAGCTACTCAGGAGGCTGAGGCAGAAGAATCACTTGAACCTGGGGGGCGGAGGCGGTAGTGAGCCGAGATCACGCCACTGCACTCCAGCCTGGGTGACAGACACTGTTGCAAAAAAAACAAACAAACAACAAAAAAACAAGATACAGAACAGTGTGTGTAATATGGTATTATTTGCATAAATGGAGGAAGAATAAATAACATTCTTACTTGCTCTTTAACCAAAGAATATCTCTGGAAGGATACATCGATAAACTAGTAAAGACTGCTTCTGGAGAGAGAAACTAGATGTCTGGAACCAGGGGCAGGAGGGAGCCTTTCCCCTGTGTTTTTAAAATTTTGAACCAGGAAGTGTGCCATCTATTTAAACAGTTACTTAAATTTTAAAATGTTTAAGAAAAGAAAGAATCAGTGGTCAGAATGAAAGGAATTCTGGACTAGTCAAAGAATCTGGATTATGATCCTAATTGTAGAGATTTGCAGCTTCATGTTCAGCGGCAGCCACCACTTCAGCCTCCTTTACAGGAAAGTGGATGAAATGTCACAGCTGGAAATAGATGTGCTTCATAAACTACAAACCAATATGCAATTGTCAGAGTTCTTATTTCCCTGAGTCAGTCTATTCAGCATAGCTCCTTGCATATATCAGATGCTCAATAACTGTTTTAAAGGAGTGATCTTATCTAATTTCTCCTACTTAAAAAATATTGGAGACAAGAGTCAGGAGATTTCTGTCTTCCCCTTTTCCTTTATGACTTTTAATTGCCTCTGTTTTGACATTTCCCAGCAGAAAAGACCTACCTCCTACCCCTTTCTCACAGCTGCTCCAAACTCTTCACATCAGTGGAAGCTCAGCTCAAGTCCTAGTTTCCTGAATTGAACTTTCCTAAAAAGTCAGTCTTCAGGCCGGGCGCGGTGGCTCAAGCCTGTAATCCCAGCACTGTGGGAGGCCGAGGCGGGTGGATCACGAGGTCAAGAGATCGAGACCATCCTGGTCAACATGGTGAAACCCCATCTCTACTAAAAATACAAAAAATTAGCTGGGCATGGTGGCGCGTGCCTGTAATCCCAGCAACTCAGGAGGCTGGGGCAGGAGAATTGCCTGAACCCGGGAGGCGGAGGTTGCAGTGAGCCGAGATCGCGCCATTGCACTCCAGCCTGGGTAACAAGAGCGAAACTCCGTCTCAAAAAAAAAAAAAAAAAAAAAAAAGTCAGTCTTCATTCTGACGGATGGGGGCTAGGACCTACCCCACAGGTTGCTTGCCAAGCTGAGGGCTCTGGCTCAGGGCAGCAGTGGCCCCAAGGAAGTGAATGGATCCATCCTAATTTGTACAATAGTGTCAGAGGGACCTGCAGGTCTATATGTATCTCTGTTTTCTAAATCACTGTCTCATCTATTACCATTTGATTTTTGCCAATTTCCCTGGCTTTGACTTATATTTAGCTCTATGAGATATAGGACTATATCTCTCTGTCTTTTCATACTCTTCTGCACCTAGCCCAGGGCTGGGCACCTTAAACCACTCTCTAACAGTCTCCAACTAAGTCTTAAACTCAAATCCCAGCGATATTTTCTCGGTTCACATCCAAACTGATGACTCAAACGTTAGATCATCAGCAGTCCCCTCCTTGAAATTCTCCCAACTTGATCCCGGGTTCTCTCTCACTTATTTGCTCATCCATAAAAGGAAATCTACTCTATCCTAGTGCAGCGATGTGGAACTACGTGGACTTCATAGGTGGAGAGGACGGATTCAGATTCCCATTCTACCTCTGCACAGTTGTTAGCACTATGCAGATCCTGCAGCCTCCTTGAGACCGGATGCTATCCTGGTCTTGATATCCCTATTGAGTTTAAACTTTTGTGCATTCTTAAATGTCCCATCACCACCGCAAGTTCAGTGTACCTTCTAATTATTCTTACCTGGATTATCTGCCACCCTGTCCAGAACAGGCAATGGACAGGGTCATTCAGCTGTGTTCGGTAGTTGTCTCTTGGTGGGCAGTAGGTGGCACTGTCTTTCAAGATAGGAAACGACTTCTGGTTTACCTCTGGAAGGTGGAGCGTTGCTGCCAAGGCTCCAGGGCACTGGGATTTTTCTTTTTTTTAATGGTGGCTTAAAAACTGATAGAGTAATTCTCCAGGGCAAGAAATATCTGGCTGTGGAAAGCTAGCTGTGAAATATGTAGATTGAGGATGGAAGGAGAGAGGAGGGAAGGGGCGCATAAAACTGTGTAAGAGGAAGCAGGGTGGTCCTGGAGAGAGACGGAGCCTGCAGGGCTGCACAAGGCAGGCGACCAAGGAGGGAACTTTACCAGTGAGAAGTGTCTTGCGCAGAAATAGTGAAGAAATGTTTAAGAACAGAAATGCCTAATACTGAGCCTTAAGTTGTCTGCTCTGAGAGTGTGTCCTCTGACAAAACCCATCCTCTAACCCCACACTCAATACCTTTTATCCCTAGACTTCCAGGGAACAAGCAGTCAATCTATCATACACAGTGTTGGAAATAGATGCTTGGTGCTACAAAGAAAAATTAGCACTGAGACAAAGCAAAGCAATTTTTACTTTCTGCGGGAAGGGTACTCTGGCCAGCCATCTTGCCACGAGAGTACCATGAACAAAGGAAAAGCAGACATATTTTTATTCTTTATGCATTTGGAGTTGTCCTGACTGCTATGTCTGATCTCTATTGGTTAGAGCCAGACCTCACAATTTAAACTAAAGCCTGATTGGCTAATAACTTAAAACTTTTCTAAACAAGTAAAAGCAATGGAGGACAAAAAGGAAGTCTAAATAAAGAAGGGGCATAGGCTGCCAGCTGGGACGTGCCTGTGAGCACATCCAGCACAGATATCTTGGTTAAAGTACAAGGACATAGAATGTATTACATGCCTATAAGCATGTGTAACAGCTACATAGGATAGGGCTTTTAGCAAAAAGCAAGAAGGCTTGAAGAAAGTCTTTAAAACAAACTATTACTTCTAACACTTATGAAACTTTGAAGAGGAACTTTTCTACTTCCCACACACAGTGACTTGAGTAAGAGGAAATTTAGAGGAATCACAGGAAAGGTGCTATGCTCTATGTTTGATGTTGGAGTTCTCAGAAAAACAGGGTTTGGGAGAAGCAGAGTTTCGAGATCTGGGATTCAGGAGGCACTGGGGACTCAGCAGAGCCCTTGGGAGCTGCTGGTGAAAGCAACAAGTTATTGGTAGAAACCTCTGAGTTCCACCCAGTGGCATGGAGGAAACAACCTCCAATACAGCTTGGCCTCACTTATACTCAGATTGTAGAAAAGTTAACCCATAGAAGCAGATAGTATTAATACAGTGGTGGTTACTAAAGGCTGTGCAATGAGGGGCATGGGAATGGGTTGGTCAAGGGATACAAAGTTTCAGTTACTTCAAGGAAGAATACTTCCAGAGCTCTACTGTACCTTATGGTGACTTGTTAGTAATGATTCACTGTGTTATTGAAAATTGCTAAGAGAGTAGATTTTAAATGTTCTCACCACAAAACAAGAAAACCAAATGAAGGAAAACTAAAACAGCCTGAAATGTACTGAGGCTATTAGCATTCATCAGATTATAAGGAATCCTTATTTCAAGTCCTACAAAACAGTTGCTCCTGAGAAGCACAGCCAGATGGACCAGTGTGGACATTTTAGATGGCGAGGTTGTAGAAATGAATGAATCCACCCCAAGCGGAATGCATATGAGGGGCTGGCTTACAGTAAATACTTAACTGGACACACCTATTTCAACAAAAGGATAAGGTTATACAATCAGCCACTTCCCTATAATAGGGGAATTTATGAGCTTCTAACTGCAAACACTGAGGCACAGGGAAGAATCAAAAAGAGTAAGCAAATACAGAGAGTGATGTTCTGTGAGACAGACAGTAGGAGTCAGCCTGAAGTGGGACGCCAGCAGAGAGACTTCAGGGACAATCCTGCTGCAATCATGAGGTGTGCAGAGGAAGCTCTGCTGTGAAGTTCATCCCTTGCACCGGCCCTTTCCAAGGCCCTGGAATTCCAAGCAATGTGTTCACATGGTCATACCAGGTGTTTTGTAAAATTTGTAAAAGTAGCATATTTTAACCACGGTTAGGACTGTCTCCTTCCGTGCCAACTTCCCTCTGTCACAGTTTCTCTTGTATCAGGCAACATTTGGGGGATCTAGCTAAGGGGAAATTAAATTGGGATTACATTGGTTGAGCTTACTAGGACATGTGGTTCATAAACACTTGCATGTATAGTCGTTATTGCTACCTGTCTCAGTGTAGAAGTGGCTTACAGGAACCACCACCCACTGAGACAACTCACCTGACATCAGAGACTAAAGTGCAAGGTCAGAAATCTGTCAGGATAAGAATGGGTGCTGTGACGTGAGGCACCAGAAGTCTGTGGACAGTGAAGCCAATAAATCCTTTTAACCCCTAGATGTAGAAAATTATAAGCATAGAACTCAGTCTCATCAAAGTCGAATCACAATAGAAGTCCTCTTCTTTAGGAATGTACCTAACAATTATGCATATATAATTGTACATACAACATGAAATGAAATGATCTCTTACATATTTGCAAATGAAATTAGTAGAAGTTATTCTGACATCAGAAAGGGAATTGGAAGAAGAAAAAAAACGTTTGGTTCCAGTCAAAAGCAGTAATTTATTGAAGGGAAGGGATACAGTTTAAATAGATGGCTAGCTTATTTGACAATCACTTGATGAAGAATGAACTGCATAAACATATTAAAACTTAAAAAAAAGTTTTGGCATAAAATATTGACATTGACAAACAATTT